TAATTTGTTGATTTTAAATTTACCAAGATATACTTCATTTCCTTACGATTCTTTTAGCTTTTACAGATCTTAATTTGATCAATTAAATTGTTTGTAATCGCTTACATAAGAATCGTCGGACAGAACTCTATTTTCATCCGATTCGTGTCCGCCGGGCGCTAACGTCATCCTGACACCTGCACCCTTATTTTCTTTTTCTGTGAATTTTAAATATATTTCCTTTTCATTTCCTAGTATAAAATTCATAGAAAATAGTATTCTTTGAAAAAAAAATTGAATAATTACCAAATATTATATTACATCTCTGTGATCAACCTAAAAAATTATCACTATTTTTGGATGTTTTATTGAATTATAATTGATATATTTGTTTAGAAATACTTCTAAATATCTGAAAAATCGTATTTTCTAGTTTTATAAATTTTAAATTTTCGTGATTTACTATACAACGACTAAGTCATGTCACACCTCTTGAGATGGTGTCTCTTGGAGGGGCACATCTTATCCCTCTTTGATGGACCCATTGGTTGATGGGCCTTCCTCTAAGGACTCTTCTTCTTCTTCTTGGGCCCGTTAAATAGGATGAATCCTCTTGTTGATCCCTATGGATCCATGAGATGTCAACCCAAGGTTCCACTTGAATCTAACAATGGAGATAACCTCTAGTTGACTTTTTCCATAGGCAGTTAGAGATTAAGGTTGACCCTAATCCTCTTTGACCTTTTGATAACTCAAGACTTGGGATGTCGTAGGTCCTAAGTGAGTTTATATAAAATTATTTATATTTTCATTATCCTAATCAATCTAATAAGTAGAGAGGATAAAATAGGAGTCAAACCACAAGGAGAAAAACTAATGATCTTAAGAAATCCCAAGTAATGAGAAGAAATAGATTAGAAAATAGACAAGAGAAAGAGAGATGAGAGATGAGAAATGTGGGTGAAATAGGATGTAATGAAGGAAACCCTAGATCAGGGTTGACACTAGGGGGTTGTAGAAAAGAAGTTTTGAGAGCATTTTAATGAGAAAGAATGGTCGAAGTTGACAAAGAATTATATAACTACTAAGAACATATCTAAAACCCTAAGTTTCACCCTAGGGAAGAAGGAAAGGAAACAAGTAAGCATAGGGAAGAAGATTGCTCAACCTGGGCCTTTATCTGTCACCAAAGCTTGGTGGTTTACTCCGACAAGTTGATCTCCATGACTTTACTTCTTGCAACTTAATCTCCAACACTCAACTTTGAGACCTCTCTTGATCACTCAAGATTACACAAAAGAGGAAGAATAATGAATCTTTATAATAGAAGTTATTTCATTCCGGCCAACCACTACTGGGACTCCTTCCAAAAAGATGAAAAGGAAAGAGGGTGAAAGGAATACATATAAGTAGTAAAGTTTTCCAAAATACCCTTGGCCTTTTCTCAAAATACCTTTAGCTCCTTTCCTTCGTTTTCACAACCTTCTTGAAGCTGATTTGTCAATCCAAATGTGGGGATGTGAAGAGTACATCTTGAAGATCGTGCTCACAAAATTTGGGCTTGAAACCCCATCTAGATCATCAGATATTGATCCTAGAAGATGGAATAGGTCGTTGATTGGTTGTCTCCATTATAAAAGGACTACTGAAAGGTGACAGTTGAGAAGAGACCTCTTTAACCGTCGCTTACGGTGACAAGATGTGCTTAACCACCACTTTTGGGGGGAGAACGTGTTTAACCGTCACTTTTGGTGGGAGAACGTGCTTAGTCATCACTTTTGGTGGGAGAAAGTGCTTAATCGCCACTTTTGGTGGGAGAACGTACTTAGCTTTTAGTGGGAGACGTGCTTAGCCGTCATATTCGGTGACGAGATGTGCTTAACCACTGCTTTTAGTGGAAAGATGTGCTTAACTACCGCTTTTGGTGACAAGACGTAATTAACTATCACTTTCGGTGACAAGATGTTCTTAATCGCCACTTTCGGTGATGAGACGTCTTTAACCGCTGAAATAAGAGGCACAATCATTGACTGACAGCCAACGTCTTCTTGCCTTCTGTGTGCAATACCCCATCTTCTCACATTCTACGTAAATGCAGCTTGAATAAAATATTCAAAAAATAAATAAACATGCCACCGCGTATCACATAGATGCCCCATCAAATATATACATAAATCCAGCAGCTGACACGTGTCATTAATGATAGAAAACTATAGAAAACCCCCTATAATGTGTGAAATAAAATATATGTATTTTCCTAAATTACTTAAATATCCTCATGACTTAAATATATCAAAATAAATTTAAAACAAAGTCATAAAAAATCCAAGAATATTTTTAAAATAAAAAAAATTCTTAAAATCATTATAAAGTTATTATTAGGCAATGTTATATATGATAACATGCTAAAATAAGACACTTGATCCTAAAATATATTGACTTTAAGGTAATTAATAAGTAGTTTTAGCATATTATCACTTTCTTGGAAGTTGACTTCTTATTATTAGTGGAGGCCCCACTTGAAGTTGACCTTAATCTTGAATGGACTCCATTGCATCATCTTTTGAAGTGGCATGATTCAGTTCAGCCACCCCATCAAATAATTAGCCACCCAAATACCTCAAGTTTGTTTCCTAGGAAACTTGGCTCCTCTTATGCCAAATACAACTACTAGCACCTCGTGCTTTCATCCAAAGCACTCTCATCTCACCACCCAATTACCTTAAGGCGTGATAAAAGGTTAAACACAATGATGGTTGAGTCATTCATTTGTGAGAATTAGCAAATGAAGATGATGCAATATTCTTGTGCACTAGTGATGCATGGCAAAGGAAGAGCTTGATTTTGAATCTTGAGTCTTCATGTGTCAAACTTATTTAAATCTATACGTCGTGTCCCATAAGTAAGCCTTTGTCTTTTAACAATGTTTTGATTTTATCAAATATCCAACGTTCAAAATCCTCATTCAAAAACTTGACATTTTTCAGAATACACAATAACAACTTTTGAACCTTCAGATCTTTGAATTTCTTTATTCTCGACAATTTTCATTCAAAATTGATGATTTAGATGTCCACTTTGGATTGAAATCAAAAAGTTGATTATGAACTTTTGTCGACCTAAGTACCTGATGTATCAACATTAAGATGCTCTATCCAAAATTTTGAATATCTCATTCTTTATCTCACCTTATTTTAGGCTTAATCCACACGAGACCATAGAGAACTTATCAAGAATCATTTCTAGATGCTAAAAAATTATATAATAAAATCATAAAGGATAAGATTATTCATATGATTTTCTTTGACTTATTTAACTGTATACTTGTCTTTTTGAAGATGATCCTTCAGCTAATATTCTTTGTTAATCAAGTATTCTTAAAGTAAATATTCACTTAATTTGGATGATTAATAGCTTTCACTTAATTATTAAGGATAAATTCATAAAATCAATAAAGATAATTCACATGATAATTATGTTGAATGTAATGAATATTTGAGACATATTCATGATTTATTAAAACCCATTAATATTCAATAATTTATTATCATTAAATATAAATTTTCACTTATAATTATTAAAACTAAGGGCATCAACAAGAAAGTTGAAAACTATTCTGATCAATCAATTTCTTATTTCAAAAGAAGTTTTGACCTTTTCTTAATGAAAAAAGTTATCTTAATTTCAAAATTTTAGCCACTTTTCCTCTTCCACTTTTTTTATTTTCATTATTACTAGATAATAGGCAAACTCATTCTAATAAACTCAAATAATTCATTACACAAGCTTCTTTAGGTCACTTAAATAATAATCACGATATTACCCAATTACTATACAAGGACCTGGATATTTTTATAACATCTAGAATTAAAGTAAATTATATTGTGTGCTATTACCTAACCTACAATTGTTTGGACTGATGTCAACTGTTATCCAATTATCACTTCCTAGTCTTTAATGAATTTTTTTACTTTTGAACAATGAATTTCATCCAATAGAACATTGTGAATAGGTTACATTTACTTCATTTGATTTCTAATGTACTATTTTTCATACAAGACATTTGAAAGATTTACCAATATTAGTAGCAAAAAATGTATTCATTACTTTTGAGGAAGCTATTTGCACTAATGTTTTAACTATCCTTTTTTAAAGGAATACCAGGTTGATATTTAACAGCCTCTCTTTATCCTCTTAAAAATTATATTTTTAATATTGAAATTTACATGTTGGAATGATCCTAATGAAGGTTTGTAACCTAAGTCTATAAATAGATCAAGTGATAGCATTTAATACTATCAATATTGTAGCATCTTGTGAAATAAAATGGTAATCAATGCAACATGATGATTCTCTTGATCAATTTGATTTGATAATAGTATGCTTTCCATGAAAATTGAACATCTAATTTTACTGTTGTACATTTTGCATAGTAGTCGCATGATGGTATTAATTAAATTGATAAGACGAGATTTTGGGCTTAATACACAATTACCTTCAGCCATAAGTTTTCTAAACTGGTTTGCTAAATTATATATCTACTCCACTCAGCTTTCAATGATCAAAGACTTTGATAGCTTCACAATAATTTTTAGTCATGGCTTTCTATTATCATTTTTGAATTTTCTTACTACACAAAAGATCATAGTTATCCTTTAAAAATATGCTCAGATAAACAAGTCTCAAGAATTTGTAATTGTGAAAAATCATGTTAAACAAGGAGTTATCCTTACCCATGCCCAACCTCCCCCACCTTCCCCTTTACCTCTTTTGTGGACACTTTGTTGTGCTAACAAATTAGTAGACAAATTCTTTATCTGCAAACAAGAGTTCAGTACAACAACCACAACTTCCATATCACATGTATAACTTCTTCTTATGACAAGAGACTATGAAACACACTGTTACAAACATTATTGACTCCAATAAGAACAAGAAAAGAACAAAAAACACATATCATTATCTCGATACATGATGGAACCATTCTTTGAGGATAATACCACTATTCCACCCTTTGCCAACTACGGACATCCAATCCCAATAGGCACTGTCATATTACATAGATTGAGCAAGAGCTTGATGTCTCCAGGAACAGTGATATTAAAACCAAATAGGTTTATTCGAATCCCGAGGCAAAGGCATGAGACAGCACCAGTACTCGAAGCTGACTTGATTAAATCACAACACGGGCCATCATTTGGTGCAACCCCAAAAACTTTTAAGAGAAAGAGTATCGGAGTGCACACAGCAAGTGATAAAATGTTAAAGACACAGCCCAAAAGGGAAGGGGGAGGTGGTGGGGGAGTCAACGTAGGTTGGCTAGAAACTAGTGTCCATATGAACAAATTGAGAATAAGGAATGCACTAGTCACTTGAGATTTTGAAGTCATGATGAGTTAGGCAAGAGAAGGCCAAGGCAAGAAAGAGGAAGTGAAGATGAGATGAAGCTTGGAGTTGCATGTCCAAGTTGTGCAGAATTGTAAGAAACTTATAGGGAATGCTAGGGGCATCATACCAATGGTAGCTTTCTTGAGGGTGCCTCAAATTGAAGAGACAGTTGGATGTTGGAATTCAAAATAACAGGTCAATTACTATTAAGCTGCCCAACTAGAAACGGCAACATTTCTCAACTCAACTATCCCTTTCAAAGTCACAATATATTGAGTTTAATGCATGACATAGATGGTCATTCTTGCTATTTAAGACAGATAAAAAAGTCAAGATTATTGCAAAACCCAACCCTAGGCAATAATATCTTGATACGAGTAGATTTACTAAGTAGAGGATAGTGGATTTTCCATTTATAACAGTAAAGGTTGAGTATGAAAAAAAATTATTTACTTTACTATTATTATTTACATACTATTAGATTTTTTGTCAAATTCTACTCTCCATTTCAAACGAATTTAACCACAACACATGCCAAGAAATGGATACTGCAAAAGGAAATGTGATCACTCTCAATCTCTCCTATATTTTCTTATGCATTCACCACAGTCTATAGGGAATCAATGACTTTAATGAAATAACTTTTTGACATATCACTATTTAGGTGTCAACTCAGAAATTAAAGCCAAGTGGACCAAAGAGATACTGGGCGACATATAGAATCTACATTTCCTTCCACTCTAACAAATAGGTGTGAAAATGATAGAACACTAGTATCTAATCAATGGTCAACATATGCAACTAACTCACAACATGAAAATGGACAATGACAGTTTAGAATGCTTAGAGAATCTTGCTTGTCATACTAAAAAACATATCTAATTAGTTGAAACAATAGATTTTCTTCAACTATGATTTTCTTCATAAGAAATTAAGTTCCTTGTAAACCATGTGAGATGGTTACTAGTGTTTTCTTTTCATCTAGTGAGGATCTTTATTGAATTACTATCGAAGCAATGCCTTTTCTAATGCAAGAAGACAATTGAAACTGATGTTTCTCTAACATATATAGCCAATTGAACACAATTCTCACTTTAACACACCTCCTGTCAATCAAGATTTGCTAAATTTTTCAGGAATATCTTATTTGACTTCTCTTGAAACATTCATTGAGAAGAAAATTTGGTACCAAATCCTTTTCCAAAGTCCTATTCTTATAGTAATTTTTAAGGCTACAAATAGTTGGAAATCTACGTGTGATTTGCAATATGAGCAAAATATAGTCTTACTTTATCTTAATGGTCGAATCAAATAAATGAAAGCAAATAGTTGTAAGAGGACACCAAAAAAAGATTGAGTTAGATATGGGTAAGCAGCCTCTCCTTAATGGATGTTTGACCGGCCATAATTCCTGGAGAATGCCCAATAAATGCACGTCTTTATGGAGCAGATATTTTGTTCCTTGTCAAATATATTGTGTTCCGTTATTTTAGCTTGAGCTTTAAGAATTAGAATTAGATTTATCTCAACCCCTTCTTGACGTCCTTTCCTAATATGGATTTTGCGATGGCAGGACCTTGAGGTTCTGACGGAGGATGCAGCTCGCCAGCTTCCTCCACGGTTTTCTAACGCGGGTTGGCCGTCTCCATCCACGCGCTCTCTAGCGTGGCTACTGTTCTCTCTCTCTCTCTATTGTATTAACCAGCTACTAATAAATTGGGCCGTGGCGAGCGAGCTCATCCTTCCATTCATCCAGATTTCCCTCACCTGGGCGTCTCACACATCCCATCTGGTTTCAGAATGAGCCCTTCTTCGGATGACTCGAAGCGCCTCATTTTCCGGACGATCAACGCATCCATTCCCTAAACACATCGGATCTTCCAACTCAAGAGTAGCTAAACAGGAGAAGAGCGCGCCCATAAACATGAACCTGCACTCCCTCAGGTATATATATATGGTTGAGTTCGTAGGATTTGACTGTAAGGCAAGGAGGTTTAGGAAAGCTTAGACTTATATGGCCAAGGAGCAAGCTCGCCAGTGGATTATTTAGTCCAAAGAGTGTGTGGGAAAAAATACAAACCTTAAAAAAAGAATTAATGGCAACTACTATTGATTTTTGAAGAGTTAAGAGACATGCCATGAGCAGAGACAACTCCATTGTCTGGGAGAGTCAAAACTAATGCGGCTCATGGAGACACCGAGAGAGAGAGAGAGAGAGAGAGAGAACAATAGGGAAAGAGAATGAGCGAGAGAGTCCATGGATTGAAGTGGGGAGGCGGGAGAGAGAGAGAGGAGTGGGAATGATAGATAAAACAAACACAAAAAGGGAGGGCAGTAGGGAGATGCACAGTTTGGGACGAAGGGAGAGTGGGAGGAGAGTGAGAGAACGAAAAAGAGGGATGAAGAGAGACGAAGAAAGGAAGGAAAAGAGAGAGAAGGGATTTTAATGCGACGCTTTCTCTCGGTTAGATTTTCGGAACTTATGTTTTTTAGTACGGTTTTATGTGAGTAAATCTTCTGTCCCTGTTTTAAAAAAAATGATTATTTTATTTTTTTATTTTGTTTTGGCTTGACATCTTTTCTTTGAACTTTTTTTTTCAAGATTTTTCTTTTGCAGTATAATAAGCTTAGAACTACCATGTACAACGGCGCTCCCAGCGTTTTCCGTCGCGCTTGTGCAGTCTCCCTCCTTCCCGGGGGAGAGGGAAGGGAGGGAAGACAGAGGGAGAGAGGGGTGGGTGTTGGTCCGCGGCAGAAAACCTCCCACTCTCCCAGGACGCGCTACCCTGCCTTCCGGAAATCCCGATGCTCGCGTCGAACAACCGCGTCGAGGGTGGTAGGGCAACGACCCTGTGGCCAACCTGACGCTGGTGGAGGCCGCCCTGGAGGTGCTGAACGAGACGGACCCGTTTAAGAAGGCCAGAGCCGGGGAGGTCGCCGCCACCCGCTCGTCGCAGGGGGTGCACCTCTCGGCCCTATTGTGACGCCGACGCCAGCCATCTCCCGGTCCCGGACCGGCCCGCCAGGCTCCCCAGCATACCAAACTCTTTCATCTCTCCTGTTTCCAATCATTCATGTTCTCTCTCATGCTAAACTGCAGAGTTAGCAGTTACCGTCCCATTTAATGCTAAAATTGGGGAAGGGCGGGAGCCTAGAAAGCCGGCAGGCCATTCTTCAGAGCCTCGTGTACATCGAGAGCTAGGCTATTGACCTATCATGGGTTAAGTATTCGCCCGACCGCACAACATGAGATTATCTTTTCCGTCGATATCTGTGGAAACAAGACATCTTCTTTTCCCCTCCAAGTCTCATTTTCTTCTGTGGTTGCGGGCTCTGGGAAGCAGGATGCGTAGGAACTTTTCACCGACTTCGTGAGGGTGGCCCAGGATGAATGTCGTCACTTTACATTGCTCGCGGCCCGGCTCCACGAATTGGGGTCCTAGGGGGCCTTCTGATGGAACCCCCCTTAGTCCGACGTGGATGATAGAAGAATGCGATAGTGAATGGTCATCGAAAAGACTATCTCCCGCAGAGGATCGCTTATGTCGGCCGATAGGATAAGAGAGAGAAGAATACACGAGAGAAGGGAAAGGAAGAGAGCATAATAATACGATAGATAATGGAAAGATAAAGAGAGGATCCAGGATATATCCTTCGCTAATACAGACCTAGTTGGGTGATGCTCGGTCTCCCCTTTTACTTATAGGAAACCTCACAAAAGACCTCCCCCTGACCACTTGCACTGAGTCGTCATTTAACACTCTTCCGCTGTCTCATTTCGTTCCCACGTGCCCATTACGCGTGGCGTCTGTGTTCACGTTGCCTTAACTCCTGAATCTTCCAAGGCTGTTGTCGTCCCAGACGTGTGCCATAATTGCCAAACATTGACATGTAAACGTGGCGGTCAAGAAGCCTCCGTCGTTGGTGAGAAGTTCCCGTGAGGTTATCGTCACATTCACAGTGCATGATGCCCTCAGGGTTCGACCGAAAAGACCCCTAAGGATTTATTGTCACAGGCGGGCAGCGCCTTCCGCAGGAAAACAATCGGATTGCAGTTGGGAAGGTCTGTGGGTTCATCTGCTGTCGTTTTGAACAGTTTCCACTCTGTTGGTAACTACACAGATTCTTTTTTACGCTACCACAGGAGTGCTGGGCAACATGCCGACTGGGAGAGAATGGATGCCTGATGCATATTAAAAAATAGGAATAAGATGGCAATAAATTTTCACATTTTCATTCGCGCAATGTTTCCATGAATTTCGTATCAAAAAGCAGGTCCTGTTTCTTTTGGGGTGTATATCACTTTTTTTCGACCTTTTGAGCTTTATTCTTATGGTTCCGTTTTGCTTGACATGTGTTTGTTCCTCTCGGCCAGGTTTGTGTACATGGGCATTATCTTTGACCAGTTTATTAATTGATATCTACTTGCATTATATTATCTTCACCTTCTACGTGCTTTATATTTCATGTCCACTCATCAAGGTCTTTCTAGATACAGCTTCTTCTGAGATATTTTGGACATTCATCCAACATATACGTACAGTCAAACTTAAATTTCATGGAAATCTACATTTAAAAAACTGTCCTCACATTTGGGTTTTCAGAAATTTCGTGGACTAGACTTTTTTGTGATTCCGTTAAAATATTATGCATAGTAGGGCCATATTAGGCCTTGTGGTGCACCGTAATAAATATCTAAAAGTAGATGAGGGTGGCCACGAATTTAAAAGCTTAATTATTTGATTACCGTACTATCATTTTTTATCTGTTGTCATTTCTTCTGCCCATCGGATTTTCTTCTAACGTTTTCGTCAAAAAACAGGCGAGGGAACTGGACATTCTTCCCACCATTATCTCTAGATTTCGAAAAAAATGGGGATGAATGCACGGCGAAGTTATTAGAAACCGTGGTGTATCCAGAACACATTAAGTGGTTTCGATATATCTATCTGAGGACACCAGGGATAAATACAAATGAACCATTCACTCTCTGGTCTATGAA